CCCCAAAACCCCAAAACCCCAAAACCCCTAGATGTCACGAACATTTTGAAAGAAGTCTTAAGTTAAATAATAAATTAGCATTAATAATGGAAGAACAAAAGCAAAAGGTTGATAAAGGAAGGGAGGAAAAGAAGCCTGATTTCCAGAGAATACAAGATTACTTCAAACCAAGGCCTCACTATTCAGTCAAGAGGATACTTGAAGATCAAGGTAAGCTTTTAGAGTCTTGGGTGCTAGTTTATTCATAAATTATACACCGCATTTCCATCTATTTAAAACTAACAATTAGGTATTTTAGCAAGTTATAATCCTCGATATGTTCTATAATTTAGAGGGTTTCATACTCCCTTCTTTCCTAATAAATTCCTACTAAAGTTATTATGAAAAACTTTTAAAGATGCGAACGGGGTTACCAAAAACTTGCGTAAGTTCTAATAGTAACTTTCTGTCTCATATGTCCAAAGATAGCACAAAAGAGTCTCGTAGGTTTTACTATCTTTCCAACAAAATTTATACTAGTTTCATGACTCTGATTCGTTTCCGAGGTTTAGAAGCTAACCTTCATGAATTCTGGTATTGTCGTAGTTTCGTACTTGAAACATTACTAATTTCACAATATATTTATGCATTATGTTTCAATGAAATATCTTCTCAAGGCTATAGTTGGAGATAGACTATTGTAGATTTTACCAGCCTAAAATTTATTGTATAAATTAGTCAGAGAAATAGCCAATTTTGGAAGATCTTGATTTTATGCCAACCTCATCGTTACCTTCTCTCCATAAAAATGTTGCCATAATGGTCTTTCTGATGATAACTGAGTCTTATAAGGATATTATCGGTGAAAATTATTGGTCTAGACTTCTCTAATCCTTCCTTTGTCAAAATTTCATTGAATAATTCTTACATTGACATAGATAAAGTAATGGATATTGAGAATTTCATGATGAACATGCAAGTTAGATATTTCAGAAATGATTTCTTCAAGAAGATAAAGATATTCAGCTTCTTGTTCTCTATCCTTGTGACAATAATAGGTATCTGCATACATTTCTATATGGAAGACAATAAAACAGCAGGAATGGGTAGAAATCGGTGATTTATCTCAGCATTTCTGACAATAGCAACTGTTTTTATCTTGCACTACTTCCCAGAAAGACATGGGATCATCGCTCCAGTTATGAGCGTGTGGCTTTTTATATGCATGTCAGATTTCTATGAGAGCTCAGATAGATTTGTCATGCATGAATATGCACTCCCAACTATTTCATATGCCTACTTAATCATGGTGTTGGTTCCAAGCTCATGGAAGTCTCATTTGATCAGTTGAATGCTAGGGTTTCTCTATTACCTAACAAAAATCGTTAAGAAGAGAGGTGAAATTCCGACTGCCTTCTGGATTTCAATGATTCCAACTTTCTTCTATTTCATTTCAATTGCATTCCTAATAAACATGAGATTGAAGGAGTTGTACAGTTACATTAGGAAGATAGAGGTGATGAGAAATGAAACTAAGAGCATCCTGGAGAGCTTTCCCAATGCGTTTTCCATTAATCCTTGCCACTCAGAAGATAAAGGAGCAAATCCTACATTCACTAATCAGGAGTTTGACCAGAAAATTCTCGATGTCAAAAACAAGGTTAATGACATAAAGAATGTTGAGATCCAATTCAGTCAAAGAAATAAGGAAACTGAGGAGAGAGTCAAGTGTGACCTAAAAACATACCTTGACCAAGTACATAAGAGGCTAACTAATCTGGATATTTTTGAGCAGAGCAATATCAGGATCTGTAGATCTAGCTCTGAGAAGAATATTCACCACTATGAAGATCAGGTGTACACTATCAAGAGTTTTGAAGTCAAATGGAATGAGCAAAGATGCTTCATGGATGTATTCATCAGTAATACTGATATTTTCAGGTTCGAACAAGCCCAAAAGGAAATAAAAAAGCATAAATTGATGCTTGGGAGAGCTAGTGACGAGCTTCAGACTTCATTGGAATCAATTTTACACTCTTTCACATCTGTTAAAGAGAACACCAAAAGTCTTTGAGATATTACCTCGGCTCATGATTGTAAAGAAAGGAGCTTCAAAGATAATATCAAACTCTCCACCAGACAAATATTTCAAGATCTAAATTCATGAGATCAAAGTTCTCAGATCCTATTATCACTTTCAGAAAGCATGCGAGATTTCTCTAAGATTGATATTGAAAGTATCGACACTAGCATAAGAGATTTCAATTTAAGGAATTTCATGGAAGAAATTCATCAACAATGCTTATATCAAACACGATTAAGAGGAGTCAAGCTGACCACTCAGATTGAAAAACACCTCACCAACGTATATGTTGCCAGTGATAGGGCTAAAATAAAACTAATCCTTATAAATCTAGTCATGAACAGGCTGAAGTACTTGCCAGAGCAAAATATCTTGATTCAAGTGAAACCCAAGAAATCAAGACATTCTTATTTCCTTCAGTTCACTATCATGGAAACTTATGAAAGGGAATGCGGAAAATTGAAGAAAAATAATGAAGAAAATAGCAAAGACCCTGGTGAACAAGAAGCTGGAGAAATAAGAATGATCATCTGCCAAAAGTACATAGAAAAACTTGGAGGAAAATTTATCCTTCCTCGTGGAATTCATTCATCAGCTCGGATAGATAAATCGCTAGACCAGTGCCTGAATGAATCCCAAATATCGGATGAAAGTGGATATGCTTCAGCTCAGTCATTAAGGATTCACGGAAAGATGAAGTTCATTATCCAAGCTAACAAAGATTTAAAAATAATCAAGCCAAAGAGGTTACAAAAAGGAGTGCTAGACAATCGAGTATTATCAAAAACCCTGTGAGAATATTGAGGCATCCTAAACTTTAATGATTGTACCTGCCAAGATTATGTAGACATTGTTCATCATCCAGAGGTAAGTTAATAGTCATCATTCTTAGGAGCAAGAGTATTGGCCAGAGAAGAAAGAGAATCAAGCGGTAGAATTCGATGAGTTATTTGTCAGTCAAGAGTACTTTAACGAGAGCCCAAATCAAGATCTGACTCAAAACCTTGCTCTGACCCAACCTCAGGCTCCAAAACTTCTTCCTGTATATCGCTAATTATTATCTTCAGTTATCTTATAACTCTCGGGGTTTTGGGGTTTTGGGGTTTTGGGGTTTTGGGGTTTTGGGGTTTTGGGG